CAGCATTCTGTAGAGCAAATTGGTTTACAACAACAGTATGAGGACTTGATTTTTCGCAAACGATTTTAATTTTAGTTAGTGTCATTTTCTTGGTACGAAAATGTCATTTGTAGTGGTGGCGTTATGAAAACCGGATCGATAAATAATATTTAGAGCCAATAAAAATTGTCTCTACTAATATAATTATGTGTGAAAACAAATTAACCGATTATGAATGATCGAACGATTTCTTACAAATATAAAATTATGCTTTTTGTTTAAGTTTTCATTTAATTTTATATCATAAAAATGAGTTAGCTTTAAAAGATGAAAAGAGGTTTGTTTGAGATGCTTAGTTTTTTTATTTTATTATTTATTTTTTTTTATTTTAAATTTTTTTCTTCTAATTTTACTTTCTATTCTAAAAATAAATCATTGATAGCATTGTGTTTAGTGCGCTCTGACAACATAAGGTAGTAGATCTCTTTCAGAGATCGTTAAAAAGAGTTCTCTAAATAAGAGCCTCACACAAGTATTTAATCTACTTATTTATTTTGTTAATGTTTTTTATTTTGATTTATTTATTTATTTTTATTTATTTTATTTCGCCTTTTCTTACTATATTAGAATAATTTTGTTAGAAACGTATGATAGCATGTTACATCTAACATACACTTAGTTGAATTTTTATAATTTTCATCCAATTGGAACTGATTTCGCTTGAGATCTCTTTCAGAGATCGTTAAAAAGAGTTCTCTAAATAAGAGCCTCACACAAGTATTTAATCTACTTATTTATTTTGTTAATTTTTTTTATTTTGATTTATTTATTTATTTTTATTTATTTTATTTCGCTTTTTCTTACTATATTAGAATAATTTTGTTAGAAACATTTGATAGCATGTTACATCTAACATACACTTAGTTGAATTTTTATAATTTTCATCCAATTGGAACTGATTTCGCTTGAGATCTCTTTCAGAGATCGTTAAAAAGGGTTCTCTAAATAAGAGCCTCACACAAGTATTTAATCTACTTATTTATTTTGTTAATGTTTTTTATTTTGATTTATTTATTTATTTTTATTTATTTTATTTCGCTTTTTCTTACTATATTAGAATAATTTTGTTAGAAACGTTTGATTGCATGTTACATCTAACATACACTCAGTTAAATTTTTATAATTTTCATCCAATTGGAACTGATTTCGCTTGAAAGTATAGGTTTCATTTTTTTCGAAAATAAACCTAATTGTCTATATATTTATTTGATTTCAACTGGCGAGCAATCTTCTACCATGGGAATCATATTTAAGTTGTAATCTTGAATCAAAATCATACTTTCAGAGAATACCCATATAGGTCTGGAATTATTTATAGGTAATTGTAAGAAAAATTAATTTAAATTAATAAACTCAAATTTGAAACTACAGGTGTTGTCAACATTGCCAATTTGCTTGCTTTCGTATGCCTGTTAAGGCAGAGGGGTGCGATTGTTCTTGTTCTCCAGTGGCGCCACCTATGGCCAAGAATTCGACTTCTGCCACAACCATTACGTCACTCCCGTTTATAGGGCGTGACCCATTCATATATCCATTTATTCATCCACTGATCGTAATTTTGACCTGAAATCAGAGAACGATCTATCTCCAATCCAGTACCCCCCAGAGGTATTTATTTATTATGGGAACATAGAGGACTTTGCGACTCGACAGATTTAACGCGCATCAGTCACCATTTTACTATACGGGGAGTCTTCGGCCGGCAGGGTTTGAACCCACGAACTCTCGGACATGGGCCTAGCGTCCCAACGACCAGGCTATCCTTGCCTGGTTTACCAATTTAAAGATATGATTTAAATCAGGAGGAAAATGCTATACTAATAAATCTTTTATAGGGTTATTATTTGAAATGGTTATTTTTAATTTACTTTCGTTTCTTTAAATTTTGTAAATAGCGTCCGATTACTTGATATTATCTGGCGGGCACAGTATCAATTTCTGATAATTTTTTTTACTCGGCAATTACATCGATGAAAAAAAATCCCAACACCAAGAAAAAATTATTATAGAGTAATGAAATTCCGGCAATGCTTTCGCCTGAGTAACATATTTAATTGATTAAAATTTCAAAATCACAGGATAATGCAATGAAGAGAAAAACCATTTCAAATGTGAAATCCTGGTACTTAAATAACCGGTGTAACAACCAGAATTTTGAAAGCAAGCATGCAAAGGGGCATGCATTGTGTCTTACAGATGCAGCATGCCATTTCGTGGGATAGAGTTCTATGCCTGTTGCACTTATTCAGTCAGTACGGGGATAGTCAATGCTTGACACTGAATATATTCTTCAATAAGTGCTTGATTGGTGAAAGATCTGGCGATCTAGCAGGCCAAGGCAACATGTCGAGATTCCTTAGAGCAAGTTGGGTTACAACAGCAGCATGAGGGCGAGCATTATCCTGTTGTAAAATACCCCCTCGAATGCTGCTCATGAGTTGCTACAAAACAGGTTGAATCACCAGGTTTGCAGTTAAGCCCTATTGGAAAAAATTCCAGGTATAAAAAAAATTATACCGGCTTATGAAATACCGGATCCGGTGCTTCATAAGCCGGTATAAACTTTATTACAGTATGATATCGGACCCAGTATCATCCCGAAACTGGTTTTTTTATAAACCGGTATTAAATTGATTCCAGTATGATACCGGACCCAGTATCACCACCCCATGGAATAATCACGAGAGTGTTCCTGCTGTCATAGGAAATTGCTCCCTAAACCATAACTCCAGGTATAGGTCCACCCAGATAGCGAAATAAGATTTATTTTCACTCAGCAAAAACCTTTTAATGTAATCCTAAAAAGGTTTGCTACGCGGTTTACATGTAAACCTTCTAACCTTAAAACGAGATTCGTGACAATCTGCTCTATTCTACGCACATTACCCTAATCCAAAACCTTGGAATACAACCTTCTATATAAAAACCATAAGTCGAGGTTGACTTTGGGTTTTCAAGTGTGAAAAAAAATTCTTCAATAAAGCTAATCTCAAGGTGAAAATAATTTTAAATCTAGGTCCTTATAAGGTTTCTTTTCAGCTAAAATCCACCTTGTCATAAAAATTGAATGGACAATGCAATTTGATCCATCGCTAGTGTGACGCCAACTAAAACGGACCTAAGTGACCATTTTACTTTAAAAAATAATTTTTAATCCTTTCAGGATTAAAGGTTTGAAACTGCATTATTTTTGCTTTATTGAAAAAAGGTTTCTTGTACAAACATTTTCGTGACAATAAAAAGAGAATTTCGACACAAGGTTGACGTAAGGTTACATGCTTTCTGGGCTAATGTGTCAAGGTCTGGGCACTCACCAGTCCTCCTTCTAACCAATAAACTGCTATCACCAAGGCAAAATCGACTTTCATCAGAAAACACAATACTCCAGAGAGCTCTAACTAGACACCACTCACGTCGTAAGGGCAGTGGTTTGGAGCGAGTGGAATGCAAACTACAGGGCGTCTCGGTCGGATGTACTTGAAGTAGTCGATTTAAAACAGTTCGTTGTATCACTGCAGTGCCAACTGCAAGTCGAATTTCTGATGCAGACGCAGTATGGTGTGCCACAGCCACACACGGTGGTCTTCCCTTTGAGTACTCTGCCAAGAATCCAAGCTGTTCAATGATGTCTGGGGTGGCTGTTCATAATAAAATGATATAAAGTCATGCGCCGTGAGCTGTGGTGGCTCAGGGGATAGAACGTTCGCCTTCCAATGAGATGAACCGGGTTCGAATCTCAGCTATGGCTGGTCGATATGAATTATACACCCAGCTTGCACCGACCACAGTGCTGACGCAAAATATCCTCAGTGGTAGACGGATCATGGGTTAGAATCCCCTTACCGTCAGGCAAACCGTGGAATGTGGTTTTCCTCTCCATGTAACGCAAATGCGAGTTAGTTCCAACAAAAAGTCCTCCACGAAGGCAAATTTATCCCAGTACTTGATCCAGGAGTTCCCTTGTCTTCTGGATTGAGTTCAAAAGTTACGTAGTTGAACATTCGTAGTCGTACACCCAAAAAATTGGGTCGGTTGTTCAACGACGGTTATAAAATAAAATCATGCACAGTGAATACATTTCTCCCCAGTCTTTCTGCAATATTCAGGAGAGAAAATCCATTTTCTCGCAACCTTATTACACAGCCACGTTCAAAGTCAGTGAACTGTTGATAATGACTTCTTCGTCTTCTTAAAGGTATTCTTGACTAACAACTGCAGTATGTCAAAATTTAACGGAAGAATAACACTTACGAACTGTAGAACACGTATTTAAAGCAACCCTGATTAACATATTCACAGTTTCGCTACTAGCGCCAAACTTATGCGCCAAGCGCGAAATTTGAAAAGATATCGTCGTTTAGTTGTATAAACAAGCCTACTAAATTTAGTTTATGTTGCACAACTTCTTCCTGGTGTTGGAATTTTTTTTTCTGTCAGTGTATTTGATTTACTGAAAAATTGTCTAAAGATATTGATAAAATGTTGTAAAAATATACAAATTTGACCGCATAAAAGAAGACAAAGATAATGTGATATCATTAATTACAAGAAAATGTTTTGATAAGGAAAAAAATGTTATGTAGCCATCCTATTTTAGGGTTGTAATAAGAAATTTTTATTTCGTATTACCTTGTTAAGTTCGTTTAATTTTGTTATTGAAATCTGATTATTTTGACAGATAATTCTAGAATTTTCCATAACATTTTACAACACGGAAACATGAAAAAAATCAACAAATAAAACAAACGAGTATAAACTGAATATAAAAAATGTCCTTACATAAAATATAAAATTAAGTACAGATTAATTAATAATAATTTTCTAAACATATTATACATATTACTCAATGTCCCTAGAAATTTTCAATACTTTTTTACGAATTTCGGCAACACATATATAGTATTTTTGTATAGCTGACAAAAAAAAACTTTCTAGCACAAAACAGATAATTAAAAACACACTTTGTTATAAATAAATTTATTTTATTTTCAAATTGATTAAATAAAAACAGTCTCAACTAAATTGCTTTTGACATGTGAAAAAGTAGAATATACAGAGTAAATTTTTTTAAAACCAATAACACTAAAAACAATTTACTGAGAGATGAATAGAAATAACAGAATCAATAAGTATATGTAACCTATACAATTATTTTTCTATATCACAGTTGAACTCATTCAGCCATTACCACTAACATTACAATGCAGCATGAAGTAGTGCTGTTGTAGCTGAAGCCGAACCTAAAACAAAGAAAAAATTATTAGAAAATGGAAGAAAAAAATTCAGTTCAAAAAATGCATTTTGTTAGATAAACTCAATTGACATTACGACCTTCGACTTACGAGAAATTGACTTACAAGTTACGACCTTCATAACTTCAACATTTTGAGAAAATGAAACAATATACATTTCGGTGACAGAAACATTTAAAACTCTCTTTCTTCAAAAAGTAAATGCTGCAACTGCTGACAGATATTAAAAGGAATTGACGAAATGGCTAGTGGTCAGTTTATGGTTGAAGGAGCGACTAATTCTATACTCAAGAACGTGCCTTGCTTTATGAGACAATAACTACAAAGAATTAAAGGAAAAAGTACGAAGGCCCGAATTTCGAGTCTGGTTATCCGTCGATTTTTTGTATGCGTGAATAATCAACAAAAGAAATTCAATTGTTTCTGAGCGCTGAGAACAGGGGAATCCCCTTGTTATTGCATAGTGAAAAATGATAAAAATTAAACTTTATGAATGATGAGGATTAAATATTATCATTATTTTTGCTTGTATAATTCTCCAATGGAAATAACTGAATGAAGAATAATATTCATTGTGATAAGAATGAAAACAAAAGTGTTTAGTAGAAATAAAAATTCTTGGGAAAAGTAATTTCATGGGGATTTAAAAAAAAAAAAAAAATTCCTTTTGCGCATGCGTTCTCAGCATGTGTGGTACAAAAGGGGAAAATATCATAATTGAAATAATATTGTCTTTAGTTGATTTTTTTCCAAAAAAAAGGCTAAATTTGAAGTTTGATATTTATGTTTTTTCAGAAAATTTTACTGAAAAATTTAATTTTAAAAGTATGTTTTATTTTGATATAAATACGTTGTTTCTGCTTTTATGATTTTTGATTGAAATTATTAAATTATAGTAAATATGAATTTTCTATTATGTTTTAATGATTCATAATCATACATGATTTGATACAATCATGATGATATCATGGTATAATCATGATTTGATACAATTTATTTTTATTGCCTGAGGATGCGTAGTTAAGCAGTTTTATTACTTATTTGGTGATTTTTTAAAGATGATAATATTAATTTATATAATTGTTATCTATAATGGTTGGGATTAATTTCGTCATTCAAATATTATATTTAACTATCACTATTCCCAGAAATTCAATTTTCACCACAGTTGATGCATTAAAAAAATTTCCTCTCTTAAAAATATTTAATAATTGAAATGTATTTTAAATGTGTGAATGTCCATAAAGAGCGGTAGAAATTTTAAATTTAACTTGGTTCTTTCATTCTTGTGGTAAAAACCAAATTGATACATAAAAATTTTCAAAATTTAAAAGAAGTTAAAACTCGAGATCTAGTAAATGAAAAATCGGACATATTATTATTTGAGTCGGGCTCTGCAAAAGGGGCAGGCAAGGAGGGCGATCAGCAAAAGTGCCAGGTTATAGGATGGGGATGCCGAACGATATACAGATTTAATGTTCGCTAAATTGTTAAGTTTCCCTTTTATAGAAAAAAAAACTTTTTTAATATATTTATAAGTTTTTATTTTTTTAATTATATTTTCTTAAATTAACTTTAAGGGGAAGGGTGACCTTGGAAAATGACCATGTGAGCACCGATCTCATTTCATTTCAGTCTTTTATTCAGTCTTTTATTTTTTTAGTATTAACACACTAAATATTATATATCTTGTTAGTTTTATTTTAAAAAAAGGCAGAATTGTTCTAATAAAAACTCAATTTAAAAATTAGGTAAGCAATCAAAACTTTTTTTTTGTTTAACTTTATTTTGTCATTTTATTTATTTTTAAGAGCATAAAAGTTAAATAAAATTTTAAAAAAAAAGTAAAATAAAAAAAATTGTAGAATTTTTTCATGCCTGCTGCTAACTGGAAAGTATTATTATTATATTTTTTACCTCTATGTCATTTATTATTTTACAATATTTGATCTCGCTTGTGATCCTTTTGATTTTTTTTTCAGAAAATGAAACACTCATTAAAATTAGTTGAAATCAACATATTTCCCCGCATTTTAAAGGAATTAAATTTGTTTTTATGGATTCACCTTATCATAGATAATATTACACCCTTGCATTTTAAATCTAGCGATCATAAATGGTTAGCGTTTGCTTCAAGAAGATTATATTTTCCAAACAGAGTTAAAAGTGATCAGATGTTAATTAGAACTTCGGAAATTGCACATATGTAATGGAATTACCCCTTTTCAGAATATACTTGTCTGCAGTTGCGTTGTGACTTACAAAGAGATATCATCCTTCTTTGTTGCATTTAAAATTCACTTTTCAATTTGTTAAAGAAAGAAAAGCAATTTAAGTTTACAAAAAAGTACAGCATTTTTGTGAAAGTAGGTTTAAGTAATATTCTTTTCATTTACGAAAATTTTAAACATATGTTGTTCAACAGAACATTTCAATTTTATATAGGTAATAATATAATTGTTGACATTCCTAAAGCTTTATATACATATGAAACGTAACATAAAAAGCTTGAACTAGTCTTTTAATGTAATTCCTTTATCTAAATCTTTTCTTTAATTTAATATTCAAAACTAAACATGTTTTCACACTTTAATATTCACATCCTGTCTTTTGATCTATTTTGAGTTCAAGTATGCCTCAATTAACATTTTAACGTTCTTCCCTTTATCAACGTGAGAGAAACATACTTTTCCCTCGACCTATTTAATGAACCAATTACAATTATTAATATTTCAATTATTCCCTAGGACGCAAAATATTGAGGGTTCATTTTGCAAGCTTTTCCCTAATTTTTATAGTTAGCACTTCAATTTGTGTGTCACATGGATATTCATTCTCCGGTTATGATGGATAAATATAATTAAACTGATCTTTTCAAATCCTGTGCCCGGTTGTCCTGCTCACCTGACTGTCATCGTCATATATATATATATAAATTAAATAAGCAAAATATAAGCAAAAATTAAATAAAAATATAATATGTAATAAAAATTGTTGTAACTCATCAGCAGCCAACAACAATTATACATACCTCTGAACAAACCAGGTATGGGGTTTCGTTATAGCAATGTGGCAAACAGCAAAAGCTGTAAGCCATGTTGCTATTGGCTGCACCCTACACAAGCAATAAAATTAAAAGAACTTAAAAATAATGAAAATACAAAGCCAGAATTTCTTAATCCGTAATCAGTGCATAACCAAACTAAGTTCAAGTCCACGTAACATATATCAGTTTTCTCTAGGATTACCTAGATATTGCAAACAAAAAAACAAAAAAAATAAGAACATTGAAAAGTATGCAAATGTGTGGCTTGCCTTAAGATCNAGCAATAAAATCAAAAGAACTTAAAAATAATGAAAATACAAAGCCAGAATTTCTTAATCCGTAATCAGTGCATAACCAAACTAAGTACAAGTCCACGTAACATATATCAGTTTTCTCTAGGATTACCTAGATATTGCAAACAACAAAAAATAAGAACATTGAAAAGTATGCAAATGTGTGGCTTGCCTTAAGATCTATAAATTAAAAGAAGTTGATTATAATTAGGTAAAAGGGTGCAATGGCAGCTCACAAAAAGCCTAATCAAATATAGCGAAGTAAAATTTCTTGAAAATAGCTTAAGAAGCTATTATTCTCTAATAAACACGCCCAACTTTTATCGGCAGCTTTTGCGTGTGTTTATTGGAGTATAATAGCTTTAAAATAGCTTCTTAAATTATTTTCAAAATTTTTTTATACATAAAATACAGTAAATGGTGTAGTTATGAGCAAAGGCGTTGCCTGAAATAAATTTCTAGCGAGGTACAAGTTTTTTAAAAAAATTTTTAAAAGAAGATGGTAGAATCTGATGATGGTCAAATACATGATGATGGACAAATATATCAAAATAATTCCTCAAAATCACGGTAAACATTATGTCTTTAACTTTTTTTTTTTTTTTGTTGGCCAACATATCATATAATGCAAAGTTATAATANTTATATATATGTGGTATTGCTTTTATGATGTTTTGTTACTTTTATCTTTGCTGCACTGCTCTGCACTGCTATAATTACTTTATAGTTTTAGTTTCTCTTTCATAAGTTTTCACCTGCCCTTTTCTGCCCTTAAATAATTTAGCCAAAAATAAAAATAAAAAAGAAATAGCAAGTATAGCCCTACTTATTTTGTGATGGTGGTAACAGCCAATTAGAGTTGAGTATGCTTCGGGGGCTTGGTTAGAGGAGGTGAGAGAAAAGGCAAGGACGCACATGGTTTTGGAGAGCTGAGGTTAAGATAAAAAGATATGAGGATCCTCAACAGCTAAGTTATATTCTAAAATTTTCTATCACCCCATAATTATTTTTTATTTATTTATTAATTAGCAGTGCAGCTTCATAATGTATAATTTCATGTTAAAATTTTTATGTACCTATTATTAATTGGAGTGAATGCCTTCCTGGAACAAAATTTGTAACTCTAAATATCTTAAATGATCTATATTAAGTAAATAGTTTTAACACCTTGTAATTAGTGATCATTCTAATGATCTTGTTCTCTTACTTAAGAGTATATTATTATTTTTAATTGTTATTCATTTGTATTCTTATCTTACTGTGTGTGGTGATGAACTGAACATCACCACAAAATCACTGTAAACATTATGTCTTTAACTTATTTTTTTTTTGTTGGCCAACATATCATATAATGCAAAGTTATAATAACAAAATTTATGATCCTAAAATTATCTCTGAAGCTAAGTCTTTGGAAATTCTAACGTTTGAATTTTCAGTTGTAGTTACTTCTATTGTATGGTATAAAATGCTCTTAGAAGTGAATATAATTAGCCTGTCCATGCAATCAAAGGAGTTTGATATTTTTTTCATTTCATGACTTAACTATTAAGTTTTTTTTCTCTTTTTTAAAAAAAATACAGGAAAAGAGGATTAAATAAAGCTAAGGTATATGCAAAAGAGATTTGCGCCGAGCTCGGAATCGATCCAGC